TGCTTGAAGCTGGTGGAATTTTTTTAAGTCATTCTCAAATACTATATCTACCCTTGACAGGTCATTTCATTCTATTTAGCACTTTTTATTCTCTGTGGTTTATAAGCTCTTAAGCAAATCTAAGAGGGAGGAAAAGCTAACGCATCTGATAATACACTATATCAGGCTGACAACCTAACTGAATTTCCCCTGTGGTGCTAGCAAAACGCTGTTCCAAAAGGTAATAATGCATACAAAAAAAAAAAAAAAAAAAGGGGAAAAAGGGGGGGGGGGGGAAGGATCATAGAGATCATGCCGTCACATTTAATTTCAGAGAACAAAACCTGAAGCTGATTTCTCTTTAGATCTGTTGTATACCAGTTGGAACATGGGTGCCTAGCACTGCGACAGAGTAATATGATCTGAGCTTTAAATAGCTGCCAAATAACCATGTGGTGGCTGGCAGCATTAAACGTGTTGCAATGAGAGTGATCTGTTTCAAAGTAAAGCCACATAACAGAGGATAAGTCAATCTGATGTGGTATAGAAAAGGAGGGGGGAACGTTTTTCATTATCTTTCTGGGTTTCTTTCTGTTTTAAATGCGTTTCCATCTTAAAGACGAATTAATTTAAGGTCTTTTTCTTAAACGGTTTAAAACCTGAATCGTGCAAGTCATTTGGGAGAACATCTCCTTGGGCACCTGGGGCACAGGGTGGGGGGAGCCAAAGGTGAAGGACCACCGCTGAGACCATCCCCTTGCTACAACCCAGTTCGGAGCGGCTGCCTACTACTGTGAAAGGCACCTTCTGTGTGTATGGGGTCCCCCTAATTTGCACTAAATGCATCCTTGGCAGTTTTTAGGAACAGATAAGGAACAAATCCATGGCAAATAATTCAGGGTGACTTCTGCTCCAGACCCTCCCCTTACCCTCACAATAACATGTAGAGCCTTGAAGTACTCCAGAGCACTGGGCTCTACTGGGACGTAGGGAAAAACCAGGTGCAGAATTTGGAGGTGTCCAACATGGGAGATGCTGCCAGCCCTTCATTCCTTCTTACCTTCATGTCAAACGGCTCTCCTGATCCCTATTGTCAGTGTGTCTCCTGGGGAGATGAACAATGTTGTGGACTGGAAAGATAGACCAGTTTAAACTGGTAACGTAAGAGACGTGGAAGGAAAAGTGGCACATGTGATTCTTCATCCCTTCTGTCACTTTTGATTATAGATGACCAACTTCTGTTTTCAATTTCAGCATCTCCACTGACTTCAGCAGCATCAATCCAGATTTATTGTAAGCTAACACAGCAGAATTTCATGTGAACATACTTTATCCAGTTTTCACTGCCCGGAGATCACACTGCCGAAAATACAGATAGGAACAGGAGAGCCAGAGGAAAACCCAGCTGCTGCATCAGAAGGTAAATAGCTCATTTAAGAGGTTCGATATGACTTCTTAAAAGATAGTAAGCACAACACGCTTTGCAGACAGTTAGGATTTTGCAAGAATGGGGACACAGCATTACCAACACTACTTAAAATTGTCCCGCTAGCAGTTTCCTGGCACTATAGAGTACAGTCTGAGCTGCAGCAGCAAGGCACCCTGCAGACAAATCGAGCAGGCTTTATTTTGCATTTCCTCAAAGGAGAACGTTGCTTTACCTCAGTAACATAAACGTCGATGAACAGCCACATGTTTCTTGAAGGTCAGCTCTAGTGAAACTTCCAGCAGCCACCCCAATGAGTAACAAGGATAGAGCCGGGGCGAATCCTTTTCTGTTTATGTCCACAGCTGCCCTTACCACGCTGCATCAGCGTATCCCCCAGGAATCCACAACAGCTGCACAGCGCGCTGGCAGAGGGCACGGCAGAGGGATGCTCGCCCTCCTTTCTCTCCCTCCTTTCTCACCTCCAGCCCCTCGTTTTCTCACTGCCTCCTTCCTGGGCAGTCACAGTCCTCGCCATGTTCACACTGGACATGCAGGTGATTGTCGGATTGAAAGTAATCAGAAAATGCTTCTTATCTACGTGTTCCTTTTACCATCTCTTTTCTGAACACGTTGCTTAAAAAATATCTCTTTTCTTCCAGTATGACCACAGACTATTAAGCCAGCCAGGCAATTAAAAATAAAACCCCCAAAACCCTATAGGTTTGCGAGGAACACAGTTCTTTGACCACGTTCACAGAATACTTTGATTACAGTATTTAATCCCCTTTACAATCTTTTACTCAGCTCTAATCATGAAAATCCCTGCATCGCCGCCAAGGATTTTCTAGACAAAAGCATATCTGGAAGAATGCCACAGACTGAGTCTGTCTTTCCCGAGTTCTTACAAACCCATTCCCCTACACATAGTTCTTTAATGAAATCAGAAGAACAAGAGTTAGATCGTGCTTTTAGGCAAATCCATACAGAAATCCCTCCCCACCACCTTCAACAGCATTTCCCGGCCTGCAGCAGCTACTTATGACACATCATATGCTCAGCTACGGACAGGTTTTGGAGGGAGCAGCGAGGAACCTGTCCACACTGTGTCAGAAGGAACCTGACTCTCAGCTCTGCCACGAGGAGAAGGTGGTATCCAATTAAAGCAAATGGGTAGAGCTCCAGACTATTGCCAAAAGTGTGAGTTTGAGTGAAGAATTAATGAGTACTCAAGCAATTTCTACTGACGCCAGAAAGGCTTCCTGAAGTTTCTAAGGAAACCCTCAGAAACACCTTGGGTCTTCAACGGCCATTACACCCGCAGTCTGACCCAAAAGGTTGCCTCCAAGAGAGGCCGCCTCGCACACAAGAGTGTAGCTAATTTAGCTGCTTAATGGAGGGAGTTCTGAAGATGCACATGGGCTGAATTAAGGGCTCCACAGGAGCCTTTGGCTCATTCCTTGCAGAGTTTATTAGTTGCTGCTGCACACATGGTTAGGTTGCTGGAAGAAGTCCAGCTCTGAGGCACCTCTCAATTCCTCCCACTTCTAAAAGTTGCAAGAAAGTGGCTCAAGTGTATCGCCCCCTCTAAGCTCTTGTGGAGAAGGACTCTCCCCTGCAGAGAAGCAGACAGGGTTTGGGAGGGGTAACTAGTCAAATAACTCTTGATTATTGAATTTACCTCCACAATTACCAGTGAGTATCCTAGACTGTAAAGAGGGTAAATACCAACAGATTGTACTATTTGAGAAACAGTATGTGATTGTGTAATTAAGGGCAGGAATATAATACCATATGCACAAGGGGCAGGGTTAATTTCAGCATTTCCTGACTAAACAAGGGCATTATGGTGTAACCCTAATGTTCTCCGGATGGTGATCATTTATATGGAGTTCATATATTTGCTTATGAATATTTGGTTAAAATTCACCCATCATACTCTCTGACACAGTAATTAAAAACACCATGTTAGCTGCCAATAAAAATATTTTTGTGATTTGGTAACTATTCCAAACCTCATAGTCCCAGCTCCCCTACCCCCCGCCCTTGTTGTCTTCCTGTTCTATAATGTATAAAGCTAATCTTGATGATGGAAAAATAAATAAGTAGCAGGGAAGGCTGGAAAGCTTCCAGTCACAAAAGCTCCCGAAATGGAAGCAACATCCAATCTGGCCCACCACATCTTCTAGGTGGGCACTCCTTTCCTGCCTTTTAGTGATGCTTTCGGTATTCATAACAGCTGTGGAATTAAGCATTGTGAACAAGAAGAAACCAACATGCAGTCTTTATTTTTTCCCCGTAAGTCCCAAACTATTCTGCATTGAGTTACAAAGTGAAAACCAACACGCTCTCAGATGGATTTAATTTCAACTTGGCCCAATGCCAGACAAAGTTTCCCCATTGTTAAAACTCCACCCCATCTTTTCCATATCATGCATACGGTCCCATCCTCACCCATCTTCCAAACATATGCGTGCACACACACGCACACACACACATACACACAGAGCCAGCCACTCCTACAACACAGAACCAAATCCATCTCCCCTGCTGTCTTAGCTAGGTTCATTGCTTTCCCTGGGATAACTAGTAGGCAAGTTGGATTTGGTCTACACTGCAGATTTTTAATATTGGGGGAAATGAAGGCTATATAAAACATACATTTTCATGTCCTAACTATTGTCTTCATAATAAACCTTTTTTAATAAAAAAAGTCATTTTACACAACCAGGAAAACATTTGTTGGAGGAGCCAATTATTCCATTCAAAAATAAAAGGCTTAAAACTTGATTAAGATATTAACGCTATAATTCAAAGTACAATGTTGGCGTTAACTCCAGCTAGTGATTTAACTATAGCATATAGGCTTACAGAATCATGCAACAAATACGGATTTCAGGATACAGAAGTATACAGCTTTCAGATGCATACATAAAAGACAAGTGTGTAATGGAAGCAGTTAAGCTTTGCATGTACGGACTAGCACCAGGTCGCTGTTCACGGTAATTGTCTTCTCTCTCGTCCTCTTCCCATGGATGCTGCATGAACAACTGCACGCTATTTTTATAAAGTGCAGACATGTTTGCTTGTGTTAAAGCTAAGGCAAGCAGTGGAAAACAGGAGAAGAGGTAGATTGAATTACTATGTTTAAATGTTTGTTTTCCCCTCCACCTTGTACCATTCTCCACAAGCAGAAGCACAAGATAAATGTTAAAAGACAAACGTATAAAATGTTGATGTGGCCCACTTCATGTTGGGCTTTTGGTTGCAGAAGGTTTTTGCCTTCCTCTATTTGCAAAACTGCAAAAATGCTGCTAACAGTACTACATGGAGAACCATGAGGATAGTTTCTAAAGAATTAAAAGCAACTAGTTGGGACTACAGGTTGTTTCTTCCCGTATTGAATTTTGTGTCCTCTGCCCTTAAACAAGTAACGGAAGAATTTCCAGAAGTCCGCCTGCACACTTAGGATTGACGTAATGGTGATAATGTATAAAATCGTGTTCCAGTTTACAATTGTCATGAAGCTTCACTAGGATTCCTGTATTCCCTTCAGCAGTGTACGACTAGTCTGAGTGTAAATAAATGGCACGCCCTACCAACAAGAACAGCATTCCAAAAATACTCCAATAGGGGCCAGCATAAAAGACCAGCCATAACGTACATACACAGCAAAGTCTGGGCAATCCATTTTTTTCATGTTTGTGTAGTTTTCCAGATCAGCCATCGCCTGGACCCAGATGACGTACATCACGACTACCAGAGAAAACAAAACACCTGGAAAAGAAACAGCGGGTTTTAACAACAGATTGTGAGGCAAATGCTGGGTGCGTTTACTGCAACACCTAGAAACCCATCAATGCTTGAGGCCCCATCTTCAAGGCACAGTCAGCCACCACTGGCTTCCTCCAACACGTACTATCCCCATCTTGCTTCTGATTTGCACTGAAAGGCATATTCCCACAACAAAAGATATGTCTGGTTTTGGCAGGCAGACCAAAACACGAGTGTGTTTAGGGACAAAACTCAGGCAGGTATTCACTGGTTTGAATTCAGGAGCCAAAGGAAGGGAAAGGAGACTGGACAGGATGACCTGGAAAAAAAATACCTACTTTTGCTTCCCAAACTAACGTTGTTTCTATCACAGTCTTTTGGATCAGATATGAAAAGGGTAAAAGGATGGGAAATCTTTCTATCATCTTCACCGCTCTACATTTGCTTCTTTTTTTTTACGAAAAGGGCTTTTTTGGAACATGCTACCTTCAGAGTATTCTACTCAAGTATTTTGCAGACAAATTCAGATGTATTTAATTCAAAATCCACCACATTAGAAAAGAAGTTCCTGGTATAGGAACAAAATGCAACAATAATGAAATAATAGCTATGAAGCAGGCTATTAGTATTAACCTCAGATTGGATAGCACAGTTTCCTGGAATTAATCCACCACATAATTCACAGCCTTTTCCCAACCACTCCTCTGAAAGGCCTTTGGAGTGTTTACACATGATAGTAATAGGAGCACATGTCCTTACAAACTTTGTTAATCTCTTTGTTACTATACACCAGAAGGAGATATAAGAAGAAAGTGCTTTGTGAAGTATCAGTTGCATTCCTAATATTTCATTTCACTTTAGAGGAATGTGGACACTTGAGAAATGCAAGCCTGCAGCACAGATGCTCCAGCAGAAGACTTGCTAGAAAATTCAAGTCTGAATTTTTTGCATGCTCCAGCATGTACCCACTTGCTCTCTGAGCTCCAGTTGTCACAGCACAGTTACAGCAGCGGGGCTATCTATTCCAACATCAAAATATTTGGGCGACACCATCCCATCATGCTCTTATCTCAGGATGTTTAGGTGCCTCATTAAAACCAAAAGCCAGTGCATACTCCTGGGAACACTCACTGCAAAACTTGAGTTTTCAGGCTGAAGAGCAGCAGAGTCTAAGTCAAAGGTATTTGTGGTCTCTTCCCCATCCTCCTAAATACTTGCAATGCAACCTTGAACAAGAGCGACACTTGTGGCAAAACCCACAAATGTACTGTGTAAGCACCCATGGATAGGCATTTGCTTCCAGACCCACCTGTCCCATTAACCTTTCATGGCTACCCTTCCCCATTCCCACCCTGAGAGTCTGCCTCACCACCTCCTCTCCCTCTACCCGCTTACCAGGGAGCAGCTCTTGTCATGTCTCCCTCGTTTGCTTCAGGCAAAATCAGACAGGTTAGCTGCGGCAGTTTAAATTGGTGATCTGGTGACATTCTTGTTGGTGCTTTATTGTCAAAATGTAATAGCTTTACATTCCGAACATCTGACAGGTGAGACCTCACAACTCAATGTTTGTGAGCGCCAGCTTTTGAAGCCTACCAAAAAATGAGCTGAAGCAGTTAACCTGAGGCATAATCAAAACGTGACTGAAAAATCCCAAAGGAACTGCAATTTTTATGAGGCTGAAAGGAAGTAGAAAAACTAAAGAAGGAGGCAGACATATTTCCTGCCTATGAAATATGCTTCCAGGATTATAACTTTCGCTGGGGCTCAAATTTGTAACAAATTTAAAAAAAAACCCAACACTCAACTCTAAAAGACATAAATTCAATTTTGAAAGTATCTTACCTAAGTAAAACTCAATTTTGATGGAGTTTAGTACTGTGATTGTATTAAACATACAAGTGGTGAAACAATCAGAGAGAAGGATCACCTTAGGGCCAGATATAAAGAATGAGAAATTAAATTGAAGACTCGCCAAATAGAAGCCAAATTGAGCAGAAGATTCCTATAACAAAATATCTAATGATAACAGCTAATGTAGGCAACACAGGAAAATTAGAACCAAACAGAGGTAGCAACTTTTGATGTAAAAAATAAAAAGATTCAGGGCCAAACTCATAATTGGAGCTATTAGAGACACGGAGTTTGTTCAAGGTTTCAAAACTTCAACCAAAAAAAAAAAAAATCTAGCTCAGGTAACAAGATTTGGAAAGATACATTCATCATATGGCAAAATCCATACGAACATTGGAATTTACTTCTTCAAATAGCTACGCCTGTGAATTTTCAAATGTCTGCAGTCTTCTATTTATTCTCTACTTCAGGGCAAAAGTAGTCCAAACCTAAAATAATTACAAAAGGTAGTGATGCATATCCCCTTAGTGCAGCAGCAGGTAAGTGTAACCAGGCCTTGCACATCTGGAATGATTTTGACCTCCGGAACCCTGGGCAGACACAAAGCTACATAGCCCAGTTAGTCAGAAGCATCTGCCATTAAAACAAGACTCCGTCAGAGGTGCTTTAATCTCAAAATGGGCAACATTTGCTCTTCGGGCAGTCTGAAACAACACCTTCTAGTTGCTTAAACTAGAGCCAACTCCGTGTAGGTGTAGGTGCCAGTGGTAAAACAACTTCAGGGAAGCTGAAACCCATCAGGTGATTTCACAGCAAGCTGCTAATACCTGTGTGCGGCAAATTGTTGGGTATGGAAATTTGCTGAAGAAATGTTATGTCAAGCAGAGATAAATGTCCTTCTTTAAAAGAGAAGAAAAAGAAAGGGAAAATACGTAAACCCTCTTAGTTAATTAAGGCACTAAAAGAGTATTTATTGGTTCTCACTATCTGCTAATGGAGGCTACTTCGTAGGTACATTGCTTACTGTGTTCAAGAAAAGTCTTGAACAGTCGAATCAGGCTACGTGAAAACTGACCATGTCCTGTTGACTCCAACAGCATTTCATTCTATAGTGTTCCTTTTGTCTAATTTTCACAGAGTTATGATTTCATGGGAGTTAAGCATTTACACAGGAGTTTACTGATGGTCCTGTATGTTAGAAATGGTAGCAGAGAAAAAGGAAAACAGAAGCATTTAACAGGTAGACCCTCTGTTTTGTCCATTTGGTCTTGTTTCCTAAGATGTTAAAGTACATTAGAAGCAGTGGTGAGAGCAGGGAAGCAGATCTTGTACTTCTATTATCACTAATGCATCTGCTTAAAATGTTTGATGTTGAGGGCATTAGTTCCTTCCTATCCATTAAGCACTTCAGGTTGTGCTTAAATTTAAGCACATGTGGAAGTCGCTTTGACTTCCAGGGTTTTTCCTCTTGGCATCCACACTGATTGCATCAAAATACCTGATTCAAAGGCAAGTATGAGCTTAACGAATGGTTACTAGAACTTAAATACTTATCTGGTTGTTAGATTCCAAAAGAATACTGCTTCTTTCCTGATTATATGATTTCATGTCTGTTTACCTTGTCTTATTTTAACAAAATGGAAGGATGTTAACAGTTCAAGAAAGATTTGAAGAAAAAGCAACATCAAGAACAGAGTACAAACAATTTGTTCAGAGGACAGAGTAGCACGTAAAATTCAGATACACATAACGTGTGAAGCATTTTTTACAGGCCACGAGATATCAGTTTGGTCTATGCGTTATGAACTGTAATAGTCATGTCAAATAATAGTCAGCACTTTACATGGTGTTTACAAACATACAGATCAAAAGCTGGGTTCATCTCCATTTTGTAGTAAGAAAAATGAGGCACAGAAACAACTAATCTGATATTCAGAGGTTCTAAGTATCCAAGCTTTGTCTCTTGACTCTGGCTTTCAAAGGAGTTTTGCTCCTCAAAGCCAAGGCAGATTTACTTAATACATAACACATACCATAGCAGAGTCACTGATATATACAAGTCTTCTGCCTCTCCATCCTTCTACTTTGTGCGTACATCTGCACTATTTCTGCAATATTCTGCTTTAGTTATTTGTACCAATAGGTGAAGTATCATTCACTGAAGTGTACTTAAACAAAAGGAAAGGCATTGGACTGAAAGCAGTACAAAATCTTACTAAGCAATTGTCTATCTTAGTCTGCTCAATTCTTTTAAACTAGCTCCCATCACTGTAAAATCTCACTGCCTCAATTTAGATGTAGGGAATACGGTATTTTTGAAGAAAAATCATATATTGCAAAAAGTTTCAAATTAGGCTATTTCTTTACATCACCACCAATCACTAGATTTGTACATGATTCCAAAGAATCTAGTACAGTTGCTAGAATATTAGTAACTCAGAATCATCAGCAGAGTCCATGTAAAACTGAAGAGAGGTGAGAATTAGACTCTTTACTGCTTGAGAGCTTAGCTAAATTTTATGCTGCTTGTGCAAGACAATGGGGAGAATTCCTGTTTATATAACTACACTACTGATATTCCATCCTGCTTCTTTATCCACAAGTTTGCCTCACTAGCTTTTCTCCTTCCTTCAGAATATTAGTCATGCCAGTAAGCGCTGAGAAAGCATCCATCATAAGTGTAATAGGAATGCCTGCTCATTATGGAGGACAATATACTAAAAGGAATATATATTTATTCTGGGAAATCTGTTCACGCAGTCTTGCACTATCTATTGTGAATGTCAGGAACTCTCATAGCCAAGTTCCAAAGCAAAATTACTGAGATTGAAAAAAAAACCCTCCACAATTTCAGGAAGCAAATATTTCTAGGAACAATGTGTGCTATGATGTATTTCTACATTTTCAGCATTGAGACCTTTTGCATAGTGTGCGGGTGTCCATTTGCCCTTGTCTTTTAGTGGATATAAAATAAAACAGCCGTTGCATGAATCAGGAATGATGGGGGAAATTATTCCTAGAACATTAAATATGTCTGAGAGAGATTAAGACAAATAAATACTTTCCTCCTCCTCCTTTTTCTTTCCTTTTTCCATATTGCATTTTTTTAAGAACACACGTTTGATACACAGCTCTGTGCAGTGTGATAAGAC